AAATGCTTCATAGCAGGGGTGTGCGTGCAATGCATTTTTGGATGTTTTCTTTTCCCACAAAAAGGTAGAGTAATGTAAACCATCTTTGCAGCAGTGGTGGTCAGACGTGTGAGGTCCCATTCGATCATGTCGATCTGAGTCACTGACAGAAATCCCCCGGCGAGGCAGGAATCACAATCATGTTTTTTTTTTTACTTTCAATTACTGATTAGGTATCAGATTTTGCTTATTTGTAGGATTTAAACATAACATACCTACTGCTAAAGATTATATCAGGTAAAATGAGCTTTTCTAATAAAAAAAACTGACACTAATTTATGTTTATTTATACACACAGCCAACAAAGAGTTTGACTGACCTTGTGTAGTCTTTTCATGAGTGGGATTGCTCTTCTATGTCATAGGAGCTGCTTAGATTTCTGTTAATCAATAGGCTGCTGCATGTTAACTTACATGTATCTGAAGTCCAGGTATTCAGTTCTGAATCTGTTTCTCTCCCTGATTCAAGGGTTTTTCCCACGAAAATCAAATGGCTCTGAGTGACTCGCTATGATGCATGCAGATGGTGGTTCATTGCTGATACAGGATGTTTTCATGGCAATTACTTGTGTCTGTGTTGTGTAAAGTGGGAGAGATAACAAGAAAGAGTCAGTCAAAAATAGTTAGATTTACTTGAAATCAGCAATTACCCTGTCCCCTTTTTGCTGCTTGTTTAGTAAATTGTCTCTTTTTTTATTTAGCTATGTCTAGTCAAGTCTAGACAACATGTTTATGGCCTAACTGGGGACAGAGTTGAATTTATACAGTGCGAAAGCTGTGTGAGTGTGCAGCCTGCATTATATTTTTCTTTTCATGGTAATGATAAGTTTGGTGTCATGTAGAGATTCTATTTTAACTCTTCTGCTCCTGAGCAAATGGTGAAAGTACAACACCAATGCCTCTCTATGACATAAATTAATAAAATGGCAACCATTATGATCAGCCCCCCACCCCCCCACCTGGTACGATAATCCACACTGCCTAATAAGGACATGAGGACACCCTGATTGGTTGTCTTTCCACCCAGAAGGCAGCAATGGTGGTAAAGGTGATGACATCATGGCGACTCACTTCCCGATTGAAGGGGCTGACACAGGCGCCTATAGAGAGCAGAGCAGTATAAAGGAGGATTGAGGACTTGCTGGTTCATTCCTCCCTGCTGCCTGCTCAACAGGAACAAGTAGAGGAGGTGGAGGATCAACACAAGGCCCATGTGTAGGATGTGTCCAGCAGCAGCAGCTCTCACAAGGATGCTGGTGGATCAGTGAGGGCTGTTGGTAGAGTTCAGGGAAAGAAATGAGGCTCTTCTAGGAAATGATTATTCTGTGTGAGGCTTCAGTTTTGGAGACGTAAAGGTGCTTTGAAGGGTAAGTGACTTACTGTTCTTCCTCTCTCTTTCTTGTGTGTGTTTTCTGTGTGGATGTTTGCTGGGATGCCACATCAGGTCTGTGCCTAAAGTAGGACCAGCTCTCCAGAAGCCTTTCAGCCAGTACCTGGAGGCCCAGAGGACCAAGCTGCACCATGCTGGAGGAAGTGCACCAGCGGTAAGAACAAAGTCCAATATATATATATATATATATATATATATTGATGTATTGCTTATGTATTTTGCAAGCACAGTGAGGATGTATAACACTCATCTGATCCACCTTAGATTTGTAAAATGTTTTAATGTTTAACAAGTGTTGCTATTGTTGTTAGTCTCTGCTCATAAAGAGTTTAAATCCAGAACTTTCACTCAGGAGCAAACATCTGTCTTTATTCTTAAAAGAAACAATAATGTGACCTTTATTGTGATAATTACCAATATCAATTTATACAATTGTTTCTATCTTTATATAATCTTTGGCCCAGCCCTATTTTCTACTATTTTCTGCAAGGCCATACAGCACTTGAAAAATAAGAGTGAGGAGGTTTTTTTTATTTGTGAGGTTTAGTCTTATTTTCTTCTCACATAAAATGCTTGTTTTTTCTAGTCAACACTTGACATTGGCCTAAAAACAGAGACAGCAAATTAAAGCAAATAACTGTAATTGTAGTTGTGTAGTCCATATTTATGTTAGTTTCCATTCATAGGGCTTAACAATCTGTAAAAGTTGTGATGCCCCCTTTCTGTAAAAAAACATTTAAATATAAAATAAACTTCATTATCACACATTCAAATTTGAACACTGGAAAATTACATACAATCTAAAAATATTTATATATTTAATGTTATATGTTAGACAACAACCTCCAGTGTTTAGTTTGTATTGTTAGCAACCAAAAACCAAGTTCAAGTGTTAAAAACCCTGAACCTTTATATTGAAATGACAATTTCAGGTTCTACTGTCATAAATGCAGGATACCAACAAAGATTCACACTGTTATAGTTTTACTGGGATTAGTTTGCTCATTGTGCTTTTAATAACGGTAATTTACTCCCTGATTTTCTGCAGGATGAGAACTGGTTGTCGTGGGTGTTTGAGAAAGTGGTGCTGGTCATGGTCTGCTACTTTGTCATCTCCATCGTCAACTCCATGGCTCAGAGCTACGCCAAGAGGCTGCAGACGCAGAGGTACTCGGAGGAGAAAACCAAGTGATGACGGGGACAAAAACAGTTCAGACATCCCAGTGACTGTGTTTCTGCTGCTGAGAGCCCTGCGCTCAGACCCAGCCACTCACAACTTAACAACAAACCTCACCCTCATCCATTCTCAAAGAGGCTGAATGCTCGAGAGAAGAAAAAAAAAAAAGAAAGAATGAAAGCCAGGCTCTGTTGGTTTTGGTGTGTTTGAGGATGTATGCTACTGTTAACTGTTTGTCCCTCCTTCAGGTTTTGTAGTTCTTCCCTTCATCTCACTCTCTGTGTAGTGCGATCGGTTCTGCTGTTGATCTTAACATGTTACTTTCAGATTAAATTTAACCCTTTCATTGACCTCAGAAGTGAAGCAGCGGTTTGGTGGTGGCTGCTGTGTGCGGGCAGTGCCCATCAGATGCTATGCCTTATGCAAGACGGGAAGGTTTGGCTTCCCTTGAACATAGTTCTTGATTGTTATTTAATTTTGTAACATGTATGTATGGATGTATCTTGATTCATTTGTACAGTGTGCGGCCAAGATAACTGCTATGGATGGTCTCTTGTTTTTTTTTTTTCCAGGGTTTAATTTTCCTCATGTTTTTGTCCTGTTCGACAGTAAGAACAACTCTTGTCGTCTTTTGTTTCTGGAGTTGTCGTTTTAAAATGTAAAAAAAAAAAAGCAATATCAAGATAAAAAACAGATGGTTTGCACACAGTGTAAATATCTTACTATCTTTTGGACCGTATGTGCAGATGTCTTTCTATTCCAACGGTCTGTGTGGACGTGAGTCAACTTGAACCAAAACACAAAAGGTGATATCATTTGTAAAGTGACATTGTACTCTCGGCTAACTAGTCCCATTTCTACTCTGTACATTTAGGTTGGATCAGATCATATATATAAAACATGTAAGTCATGGCACTTGTTTCCAAGTCTGAGTCTGTCGTTCTTTGATTTCTCCTGGAGGATGAGACCAACTTTTAAATGTTAAATCATGAAAAGCTCCTCTGTGATTATTGTGATGTTTAAGAATGTCATGAAGGAGCTAATGCATAATTCTCTTTAGACATGGTCATCTTAAAGGTAAGTGAAAAACTTGGTCCTCTACTTTTTCATTTTAAATAGTTATTTGTGGTTATATGTTCTTAATACAGTCAAATTTCCATTTTTGGTGTTTTTTTCTTTCTACCAATCTACATCTGGACTCCACATCCTCCGTATGTTGGTCATACATCCTGAGTGAAATATACTCTGTAGATCAATGTCCATCTCAACATGTGGAGGACATCCCCTTCTATAGGCTCAGTAGTGAGATCCCCCCCGTCAGCTAGCTTATCAGACTGGTGTTGGCTGTTATATTGCCGTGGCAACACTGGTTTGTAAGCTGGCTGAAGCTGTGGGCCTTCAACATTTCATTGTGATGCCCATGTCGACTGTTCCAGGCCCAGACTTCAGCTGCTCCATGTGGAGACTTCAATTACATTCTTATGAATGCTGATTGTTCCAATTCTGGAAATAATGATAAATGAATGAACAATAAAATGTTGAAGTATGTTAACTGATGCCCCTGTCATTTTTCTGCAAGTGCTGCTTTTCTTAAATAGCTGCTGCTTTCAGGTGTTCAAACTACAATAGTTTGAGTTGATCTCCACACAAGGTCGTTAGTCGCTGTTCTGGAGCTTTTGATCACACCACATGACCTTCCTCTGCAGAGGTCACGTAATATAGATGATGAAAGCTTTTCTGATCCAGAGCTGTAAGGTAACTAAGTACATATACTCAAGCAAGTGATACTTAACTCCAACTATGAGGTACTTGCTCTAAACTTGAGGTTATCCAGTTAATGCAACTTCATGGCCGAAACATGTTTTACCTCACATCTCCATTTGTATTTTCAGTAGAACTTTCACAAATGTACTTTGCTCTAGTTTGGTATTTACTCAATTGCTCCAGTTACTTTTGATTGACACAAAATATGAAATCAACCTTTTATATAATTATACATGAAAGGCCCAACACTCCCTCACAGGCATTACACCTCAGATGTTAGGTCCGATATAGTTTCAATCTCAATGCACAGCAAATGAACATGTTGCATCAGGGCTGGACGATATGTACGATATGATATTATTATTATTTCTTTTCAGTTTAAATACTTTTTTGCTTCTGGGTGAAGGTTGTGGATTTGAACTCTTTAATACTGAATTTATGTGCAGAGAATAACAAACACAGCAAAACATTTTACAAATCTGAGGTTTGTCGTTTATGTTGTACCTCCTCACTGTGCCTGGCTTCATATAGATATGAGACATATGAGTTGTTATCTATCGACATGTACGTAAGATTAAAAAAATGTCTGCGCTTCATGAATTTAAACTGAAATGTGCTGTTTGCCATCGTTTATTTATTTGATAAATATTTTGCTGAGATTATACAAACACTTAAATACAAGCAGAACTTTAAACAGTATTTTTCAATGTGCTATTGGTAATTTATTTGGCTTGAGGGTTTAATTATGAAAGATTTATTCTTGAGCTTAGAGACAGTAGAAGACAATACCATGCAATTACAAAGTATTAAAATCTGTAATGATATAAATCATGAACAGTATTTTCCCTTGAAGAGACAGTGAAGGAACCTTTGGTGTAACGGTGCTCAGTAACTGCTGCCACTGCAGGTGTCAGACACAGTGAAGAAATCAGTTTAAATAAACTGTTTTATTTACACACACACACACACACACACACACACATAAGTCATTGCCATGAAAACATCCTGTATCAGCAATGAAGCACCATCTACACGCATCATAGCGAGTCACACAGAGCCATTTGATTTTCGTGGGAAAAACCCTTGAGTCAGGGAGAGAAACAGATTAAGAACTGAATACCTGGACATCACATACATGTAAGTTAACATCTAACAGCCTATTGATTAACAGAAATCCAAGCAGAATCCTGTCTCCATTCAGTCCAAATAAAAGGTGCTGCTTGTTGGTTTGTCTCTTTGCTAGCACAGTTGACTGTAGCTGGAGATGACCTGCTCCAGAGATGTAAAACTGTCGAGAAAATCCTCCTCTGAGATCCCAAATTTAACGTACTGATGGATATAGGCTCTGTTAAAAAAAGGGAAACAATAATGAGATATACCGGATACCACCCCAATCTTTCATCTTTAACCCAAAGGTATTTACGTTAAAGAGAAATTGTGACACTCACATATACATGTATGCACCCTCTATATAAATATTCCCTTCAATAAGTTACATATTTAAAGAGCATTAATTTGACAGTGACACTGTTTTTGAACATTGATTTCTCTGAGTAGAGATACTGACTCACCTGGAGGCGAACATATTCCAGGCTTTTCTCACCATGTGATCCAGAGGTCTGAGCAGAGCCTGACTGTTACTGACTAGTGTTGCAGATTTCTCATATTTGTTAAAAGGCACCGGTGATTTCCACAAGTTGAAAGCTTCTCCTGATGACAGCCAGGGGGTGTAAAGACCAGGGTCCTCAAAGCCTCCTGCAGGTTGATACATACTAATTCACATCAATTCTGAAGAGTATTAAAAAGTGTTGGATACTATCCTTAACCATTTTCTGTGTTATATGCATCACACCAGCCTGAACTCACATTTTTCACAAATATCACATATATCTCCATGGATTTTTCTATTGAGATCAATGAGGAATGTAATTATTGTTTCACTTCATCCACTTTCCACAATAAAATCATTTCATTTGAATCGGCTCTCTGACCAGTCTCTGCACTGTAGACGTCTTTCCCCCTCAGTATGAGCAGGTTGGCCAGAGACATGTTCGCCCCTGTGAGACTCCTGCTCCGCTCAGAGGCTGCAGGTGGACGCGCCTGCCAGTCGATACCTGACACAGGGCAAATGAGAAAGATTCTCAAAAGGGGGGATGACAGCTGAGGATGAATTCAGTCACATTCTAAGCCATAACTTTAAAATCATACGTTCATCTAGTGTCAAAACTTGCCTTCCTCCATCTTGCTGTTGGAGATGAGCATCTGTCGCAGGTGTTTGAGCAGCCCCGGCCAGCTGAACGTGCTGTAGGCCATGGAGGCACTGGGCATCTGAGGGATGGTGGACACACTGAGCAGCTTGTACTCCGGGTGGCAGACCAGGGCGCTCACCAACTCACCTGAGACAGAAACAGTGAAGAATGATGGAACGTGAGGATTAAGACAAACAGGCAGAGGCATTTGAAGCCAAGAGGGTGAGGACACTGGAGTTAGGGTGTCTCTTGTGCGACAAGCTGAAATTTAGATTTCTATTTATCTGAAATTAATAAATAGATCTTCTTGGGAAGCTTGAAAGGCGCTATATGAATTTAAGTTATCATTATTACGAGAGGATTTATTTCTCACTTCTTTACATTCACGCAAAACAAAACACTATCCCATTGTTCTGTTCATATTTTTAATATTGTGAAATATTTGCCAAACTAGACAATTTACAAAGTACATTTGCTGGAGCTTTATAATGAAAACAGAGTTGAGCTCTACAAAGTTTTCTGTTTTTCTAATGATTTCACTCATGAGTTTTCTGATTCAGTTGAGTCATCTTGTGTTTTACTCTGTGAGGAAACTTGGGAAAGGTTTCCCTGTGTAGTTAACACCCCGGTCCTAATCCACAGGAAATCCAGGCCCTGCGGGTAATCTTTTGTTTGTGTGTGTGTGTGTGTGTGTGTGTGTGTGTGTGTGTGTGTGTGTGTGTGTGTGTGTGTGTGTGTGTTTGTTGTGTGTTGTGAAACCCTCACCCACAGGATTTCTGCTGTAGCGTCCGTGGGAGTCAGCGGTGAGTGCTGGCTGCAGCACGCTGCCCAGCTGGTGAGCGATGACCTTGTTGACGTCACTGAAGGAGATGTGTTTGATGTTGAGCAGCTGACTGCAGATCCTGTGCACTGTGTCGTTCTCGTGCACCAGGATGGCGTCGGACAGTTGGTAGAGATGAGCCAGCGTCAGCACTGAGTTATAGTTCTGGACAATCACCTGAAAGGACAGGGAACTAAATATCTTGAAAGCACATTACTCATTGTATGGCTGTGGATCACTGCTCGCTCTTGACAGCAGCCTCCATACCTCTCCAGTCCCGTACGGCCAGGTGAGGTGATTGAGGATGAAGGATTTTGGGTAGATGTCTCGGAGACCCTGAGTGACGTAGGTACCAACCCCGGACCCCGTTCCCCCCGCCACACTCATCATGGCCATGAGGCCAGCCAGTCTGTCACAGCGCTCCACCTCTCGCCTCACCAGCTCCTCCACCACCTCTTTGTGACGAGGACCGTGGACACAATACCTGAGTGACAGGAGGAGCAGGTTCTCAGCTTCATGGTCTCCCTACTTCAGTTCATTTCCAAACATAGGATCGTGTTTCCTGTGTGATCGTTCTCTCTACAAAAACTATTTGCTTCATGATTTATAAGCGTCTCTCTAGCTTTAATATTAGTGGAGATATCTTAATATCTCCAGCTATGCGTTGTTGAGCTTTTTTTCCAGACAGAAAATGTATAAGTTATTTTAGGTTTTCAAGCAAAACATTTTGCTGTTTTAAGCTTTTCAGAATGTATTTGTGAATTTGTTAAGTGTATTTCATTCATCGAACAAAGAAAACATTTCAATGCAAACACAAAATCACAAATCTTGAGAGAAAAGGAGCAGAAAGAAGAATAAAAAATATTTTTAAAAGTTAAAATTAATTATAAACCATTCAAAGATGGTGTATATATATATATACCTTTCTTTTCTGGATGTTGGTAGGCAAAGTTTTATTATGAGCTTTAAACATAATTTGCAGAATGATATGATTTGATGTCTGGCTTCTGACAGAATATAATGGCCTCTTTTACATAAGGCTTATTAGATCAAATTAAAAACAGTGAGTGTTGTTTAAGCTGAGACTGATTTGACATGATGATTATGATGATTATGATGATTTGCATAAATATCACCATATTCTGTCCAATTCTGAGCTTTTATTCAACAGTTGATTGCTTTTTCACATATTTGATAAAATCTCTTACCCATTGGCCCAGTTATTTCCAGAGCCCTGCTTCTGGCTGAAGTGTGAAGTGTCTCCATACCTCCACCTGCCAGAATGTGCAGCATGGTTCATACAGTGGTTTATCACTTTAGGCTCCATGTCTATCAACACCGCCCTGGCCACAAGATCTGGTGAACAAACAGAGACTAAGTTGTGACACACTAGAATGTAAAAAATGTTGTGTTGTGAGTTTTGATTGTTCAGTAGATTAAGTGACAAGAAAATACAGAGAAACGCACATTCATAGTTCCTGGAGCCCGTGATGATGCCAGTCCTCCGTTGGCTTATTTTAATCAATGATGTTTTGGATTTACAATAAATACACGTAAATGACAAAAAATGATCAAGGTGAAGAAGCTGGAACCAAAATCTATCTGCTTGATAAATGACTTATAAATGACTTAGTTATCCAAAGTGTGTCCACTGATTATTAAAGGTCCAGTGTGTAAGATTTAGGTGAAAGGGAACTACTGGCAGAAATTTAATGTAGAATAATCCTCATGATGTTTCCACTAGTTTGTTTCATCTAAATTATATGAATTGTAGTTTTCTTTACCCCAGAAAAGACCCTTAATATATAAATACTTTGTATTCAAATACTTTATATTTACTTCGAGGGGGTCCTCTCTACGGACACCGCCATGTTCTTTACATTAGTCCAGATTGAACAAACTAATCACCTTTTGAGTTTTTATGACAACTGAAGCTACCACAGGTTCTCTGTCATGTTTGGAAGGAGAGGGTGAGGTGAGGGGTGTTCAGCTGCAACATGCAACTTCACCACTAGATGTCACTAAATTCTACACACTGTACCTTTAACTGACTTGTGTTTCACGAAAGAAGGTGAAAACAACATTAACATACTGAAACAGTCTAATGCTGCAAACTAATGATTGCAGAAGTGATAATAATAAAAACACACACATGTTCATATATAATAATCGTATATAACGGTATCATGCTTTCACCTTTAATATTTAATAAGTGTGCTTTTAGTAAACGTGAATCAGTTTCCTCCACAGTGAAACATCCTCTCACTGTATTTAAACCCAGACAGGGGGTGTGAAGAAGTGTCTCTACCTCCGTGTGAGTTGCGGTGGAAGAATCGCTCGGTGCTGGCGGGGCAGTATGTCTTCCCCTGTCCGTCCCGAGCGTCCCTGCACACGGTGTCAAACAGCTCATGAGCCACCTGGTTCCCGCACTGACCCAACTGCACCGTCACCAGCGACATGTCAGCCGGGCTGCGTCTTCACACGGGGACGGATCTTCTTCTTCTTCACCCAGCCTGTGGGTCCGTCTCTACATGTCCTCCATGACAGGTCTCAGGTCTGCACCTTGTTGTGTTTGGAGAAGGTCTCGTGTTGCCGCCACAACGAGACACACCGGAATTTCCGTCCCAAACTGTCAAAACTTTCAAAATAAAACACCAATTGCTCCGTCCTGAAGGGTTGTGAAGTTTTCAACAAATAGGTCTGATAAATAAAAATTTTCCAGTAAGAAGCCAGATTTTTCTTTTCTTCATAGAGACATTTGAGGCCTATTTTAAACGAAGACTTACATATAACCTACGTACAACAGTGAGGTGTATATTTAATGAATTTACAATAAGTACCTTTCATTTATTTCATTTTTTAAATGATTCACTTAGTTATGTATTTTCATTTACTTTTCTTTCCTCCCTTGTGGTTGTCTGTATTTTTGTCTGATTGACTGGATCTTGAACTATGTCGTTTTATTG